CAGTAATACACATTACACTGGCCTTTATAAGATATGTCAAGTTTTGAAACTTGTACTGCCACGGAAAAAAAGGAATTCCATACAATAACATATATATGTGTTACCCTTGCAAATAATCATAATTACACAATATCCTTCATTTGAAATTCAATCATCCAATATAAATGTAATTCTACCATGACTAAAGTAAATACTGGATTGTGATTGGTTAATTAAAGTCATTCAGAGGTATATAACCACGTTATCTACCTCTGATTTTCCAACACAGGATTTATCTTTTTAAAATCTTAATAACACGGTTATGATATGGAGATAAACATACACGTTCGGTTTTAAATCGAATTTAGAGCTATTATAATTTCATAATATACCTCTGAGTTTCTAACACAGTATGGTTATCTCCTAATCATCATGACAAGATGTCATGTCATGATTTGGCGGTACATAGTACACGGTACACGATATATATCATACAGGGAAACAGTAAAGGTTGTTAGTCACCATGGTGACTGATTAAATATTATCCAGCATCAATGCCACATTGATAAGACTTCCTGATAACCCTGGTCCACTTCCGTATTGATAATGATTACCTTTAGAAAGGCTTCACATACCATGTCAATGGGTGCGGTGGGGTAGCCTGGTGATTAAAGCATTCGCCTGTCATGCCAAAGACCTGGGTTCGATTCCCCACATGGGTGCAGTGTATGAAGCCCATTTCTGGTGTCCCCCGCTGTAACATTGCCGGAATATTGCTAAAAGTGACGTAAAACTAAACTCACTCACTCACTTAGAATTATTTTCCCAACAACACAGCCAACAGTTTTAGAGCTAAATCTAAACCAAATTTCAGCATCACAAACCAGTGATAAATATTATGAGCAACACCCATGCTGTTGGGTATGATGACATGCAATCAACGTGCTTGCAAGCATGTAACATTTACTGTTATCCACTGTGAATGCTGAACTGTGGAAATTCATTTGGTACTTCATGTTAGTAACTCTCCAACTCAAATAATTGAGTCATGTATAATGTAAGGAAATTACCCATGTTTTGCAAATACAAAATTGATGGAAGGGAGATAACTCTAAATTTGTTTTTCTTGTCATCTGGTAGATTCTATGTCATCTGAAAATCTGGTATTGACTAATTGCCAAACTCTGGTACTCCTTATCATGATCCGATACCTGTACTTCAAACAGTTCAAAATTAACATTGAGGTGTTCGGTAAGATAAATACAGTGTTCATTGGTTCTTCAGGCCTGATGTGTTGATGTACCCTCATTGTTCAAACAAACATTGAGGGTACATCCACCCATGTCTCCCTCGTAACCAGTGAATAACATATAATGTCACACTCAGCAATATTTTAGCTACAAGATGGTGGTCTGTAAATAATCAAGTCTGGACCAGACAACCCAGTGATTGACCTCATGAGCATCTATCTTCACATCTGGGATACGATGACATGCAGCAAGCAAGTATGATCATCCGATCATGTTATTGCCTCTTACAAGCACAGATTGCTGAAAACCAGTCCCAACCTGCATCTTTACATGTGAACAAGGGACAAGGAGAAGTATATGTATATAATCACAGATCATCAGGTGAGATTAGAAGATGTTTTTGTAGTTGATATAATCAGACAATGCCGGTACAGTGTTTAACTTACACTTTCAATAAACTTGATAATCTTTAAGGGACCGTTCATAATTTAAGGCTTGGGGGATACTGAAATATTATGTGGAAGCATGTACAATGTGACTGACACCCCACCCTCCCGGTAAAATTTATGTACAAAGTAAGTGACCCCCATTACATGTAAAATTCAATTTACCCCTTCAAAAATAATATTTACATGTGTACAAAAAAGTGCTGACCCCACCCTACCTCCCCAGAACAAAATGGGTGAATCCCCCTCCCCTAAAATCATCATCAACCCCTAGCCATAAATTATGAACGGTCCCTAAAGCTTGTATAAATGCACACACCACTCTTACCAAGTCATGATATGGATATCCCCGTCTAAACAGTAAACATGACAGCACATTTCTCAAATCCTGTCAACCTCGTCAAAATAGAAATCTAGGAACAATCCTTCAGAATTAATCAACAACAGCCTTCGAACTTCATGTAAATCAGCTAGACTGAACCTACTTAGTTGTACAGAGGGACGAGTTAAAGTACTGTGGTGGTAGGCCATACACCAATCAGAACTACAGGTTAAAAAAACACTCTGCTAGTCATGATGGTAATCCTGTCATCCGGGCCTAGCTCCACAAACAGAACTTAGCGCTATGACTGTCATAAGGTTATGTTAAAGAATGAGACATGATTGTCTAAATGCAATAATAAGGAATGATGCCCATGGCCCACTTTCACAAAGCGATCAAAGTGTTGAGATGATTGTAACACCCATATTCTAACACAGACTTAGTAAGTAGTGCTAAGTGAGTGAGTGAGTTTGGTTTTACGCTTTTTTAGCAATATTCCAGCAATATCATTGTGGGGACACCACAATTGGGCTTCACACATTGTGCCCATATGGGGAATCGAACCGGGTTTTCGGGCTGACGAGCTTAACGCTTTAACCACTAGGCTACCCCACCGCCCCGTGAGTGCTAAGTAGTGGTGGTCAATTAATTGAAATAATCAAAGATTGGTCGTAAAGATTGATTAAATGACCAAACAATTGATCATGTTTTCTCATAATCAAAACACAAACAATTTGGGAACATTTGTTTGTATTGATTCCAACCCAGACTTAGTGGTAGTACTAAGATCACCTTGTGCAAGTGGATCCATGTCTGTGATTTTCTGCTGCATGTAATGACACCATATCAATGTGAAACAATGATCATGTCATCATTGGCTGGTTCAAGTTTATTACCAGATGTTTGTGACATAGATGGAATACTGCTGTCTGCTACTCAAAACAACCAAAAGACTGAGAGCAATATTCCAGCAACATCGGCGGGGGGACACCAGAAATGGGCTTCACACATTGTACCCATACTGAACCGGGTCTTCTGCGTGGTCGAGCTAGCGCTTTAACCATTAGGCTACCCAAACAACCTAAAGACAGACTTTTAGTCATTAAATGTCCTTAATCCTTCACAAAACCGAACCTGTGCCCAAGGATTTCACCTAGGTGGTAAACGTCCGAGACATGGAACACTTTGAGCTCACCTCTCACTTTAAGCTGGAGTAAGTTGAATAACATTCAAAATGGCATTGAAAGCCACCCAATCAACAAAAACAAATATGATAATCATCAGGCACATACACTGAAACATTCTGATCTTGAGTTAATCTATCAATGTGTACATGCAATAAATATGATAAATGTATCAAAATACAATCAGTAATCACAACAAAAATGACAAAGAGTAGTACAAATTAGGGCTGGGATGGGTCCAAATTTTCTACACAGGTACCCCACCCCATATTACCCTACCCTACCCTGATATCCGTTAGGTTAATTCCTGACATCAAATTTGCAAGAAATGGCAATATATTCTTCAGCTCAGAGGCTAAACATTCGAGTTTTTCAATATATTAACCATGTATTATACTCAAAACAGGTGACTGTAAATGATGTCCAAATCTTCAAAGACAATACAACCTTTTAATCATGTAGGAATAACATATTACATTGTTTAATCTATCATCATAATGGGTCCGGGTATTGAGACGGGCACTTTGGTCCAACTCATTACCCACTTGTCCCGGGTATCCAGCCCAGCCCTAGTACAAATGAAATCCACCACCTCCAAATCTCTGATTATGGCAAAGCAATGGGGTGAATTGTCTTCATCCATTGACCAAATAGTATGATCACCATTTTTGACTGAAATACCCCCTACCCTGCTAACATTCCAGAACAAAGGCCGTTTCCTGGCAATGTTAAATATTTGATATTAAGCTCTGTTTTGTTATAACATGAGAAAGAACACACAATATTTAATTTTCAGCATGATTAACATTATTGAGTGAAGTAGTCAAACACACTGACTGCACACTGAAGGAATGGTATCTGAATTGGGGGCACAGTCTATTTTCAAGACTTTGACAAGGACCCCTAAATCTCATAGAGTGAGTGAGTGAGTAAGTTTAGTTTAACACTCAGCAATATTCCGGCTATACGGCGGGATCTCACAGAAGTCAGATCATTTCCTGATAAGAAACCTCTCTGCCTGAGTGAGTGAGTTGGGTTTTACACCGCTTTTAGAAATATTCCAACAATAACAAGGGGGGGGGGGAAGACACCACAAATGGGTTTCATCATTGTACCCATGTGGGGAATCGAACCTGGACCTTCGGAGTGAAGAGACAACCGCCCCCTCTCTGCCTGAACACCTGACATCCCCTTCTTAGAAAGTCCTTAGAATCTCTCATCAGCCATTACACTAGCTGCTACACTTTCATGCTTAAATTTATATTTGACTAGATAGTTATGTAATAAACTTTGATTTTGATAGTTATGATTAGAACTGCTTAAATAGCATTTCAGTCATATAAAGCCAAGAAAAATGGAGTTTAATGCCATGTTCAAAATTATTGCACTTCCCTAGCCATGTGTATGTATGTCTGTGCAAGGCTGCTTGTGCTAGTCAGGACTAATGACTGATTGTAATGCCAACCCACTGAGATACCACACCACTGTTGACCAGCCCATATTTTATACCCATAATGCCAAGCACCAGGCTGGGCAACAACAAGTATCACCTTTAGTGTTTTGCGGTATGTGGCACCAGGGTACCAACCCAACCACCTTCCTCTCTCTGGGAGGGGCTGTTTTCCACTAGACTACAAAGGTTGTCTTAGTTATATTCTCAGTCTACTTTGGGATTACATCCTCAGTAATGCAGGTCATGTTCCTGAAAGAAACCCACAAGCATGGAGCTACAAGACTGTACAGCTTATTGCCGTCACTCAGACCTAGACACACATGACCAGAGCAATGTTTGGTACTCAGAGGAACAGGTGGGTCAGTTTCTTTCTTCATCAAAGTCTGGTTCTTTCTTGATATGGTCAACAGGAATAAGTTGTTCCCCATCTGTAGATACTGTAATTGCTTGATAGAACCTCTTCTGAAAGTCCATGTCTTTAGGTTTATCAGAGGACAGATTATCATCAAAACCATCAGGATTTTCTTCAATTTTTGCTGGCAGATCCTCTTGAAATTCAGTTACAGAACTGGAAGACATGTCCACACTGAGCATATGTGGATTGTCCTCATCTTGGTGGTCCTCAAAGCCATCCTCATTAGATACATCCTCTTCTTTGGCAGTCTTATCTTCATCAAATGCTTCACTATCATCAGCAATATCTGACTCTTCTTTCAGTACTTGTTGGTTTCTAGCTTTCAACAGTTCCATCTGTGGAAAGATAGGGATAGATTTGTACCTAGGGGGTTTCACAAATAAGGGACGTGGTACCTCCCCTCCCTTCTTATCCCTGTGTACCTTCATATGAGCGTGGAGATTGCCAGCTGTTGTACAGGCCTTCCCACAAAGGTGACATTTGTGAGGACGTTCTCCCGTGTGAGTACGAATGTGTGTCTTCATTGTGCACAAGTCAGCAAAACCTCGAGCACAGTATTCACAAATATAAGGTTTTTCTCCAGTATGAGTACGCATGTGTCGCTTGAAATTAGCAGAACTAATAAAACCACGGCCACACTGATCACACTGGTATTGACGTTCATCTCCATGAGTCTTTAAATGGTTCTTGAGATTGTGGAAGTGTTTAAAAGTTTTACCACACTCTGTACAAACAAAGGGTCTCTCCTCACCAGCACATTCTAGCCATGACTGATCTTGGGTCGGGATGATCCGAGGTCGCCCTGTGCGTGGCAGGTCATCAGTTGACCCTGTTGTTTTTAACCTACTGACTAATCGGTGAATTGTACTCCGAGATGTTTTCATTTTTTTAGAAACTTCATACTGGGAGTAACCTTTGTCTAGCATTTCTTTCACTTCCTCTCGCTCTTGTTTAGACAGTCGAGGCATTGCAAGTCTCTTTCAAAGGGTCTGTGAATCAAAAACACACCTTTTAGCATGCTAAATGAAATTTCGAATGTTACAGTTGGTAAACATGAACTCATGGTAAGCTACATCCAGAGTGTAAAGACAAATGAAATTGGTGCAGTGCTGCCTCAATGAACAGTGCCTACCTTTTTTTAGTGAAATTTTAAAATAAAAAATCCTGAATAAATAAGTAAGTTTAAATAGAAATATGGTCCAGTGTGACACCTTTATTGTTCAATTTAAATGTTCACATTGGCACATGATGCATGTACACAAGTCAAAACGTGACCTGGCTGAAGAAGTCAAGGTAAATTGTCTCAGAAAAGAGGTGTTTTTTGTACCCTTTCACAAACACTCCAGGTCCGCCAGTTAATTATCTGGAAATTAGGAAAGTTTAGATGTTATGTAAAATACAGTAATCCTTCGCTATGTCATTTATGTCAATGTTAAAAGTCAAGTCAAGTCCAGAATCGTTTCAAGACAGCAAAAAATTGTAAGTGTTTTTGAAATAATAAAGCCTTCACATGACTGATGCTGTCTTTGTGCTTGCTTTTCTGGGTTAACCATCGTCATTAATTATTAAGTCAAAATAGGCACTTAGTGCACATTGTGGACCGTACTAGCGGACAAGTTGCGACTGACTCTAAAAATATAAACATGAATATTAAAGTGTCACCGCTGAGGGTATATTGTCTGCTAGAAATATGGCTACACTCAGCTGAACCGTTTGAATGAAACTCCTCCAAAATACACATTTTCATCAAAACAACTTAAAGCACTGTCTATTCGCATAATGCTTACCATTGAACAAGCTACCTTTTCTAAGGTGACTTGCCAGTGTTTGCAAGTTGATTGCTTGACAAGTTCGTCTGACATTGATGCACTATGGGGGAAGTAACTCTAATTTTCAACTGTGGGTAGTGCCAAAACTTGGCTTTAAAACATAAAACGGAACGTGGTTTTTCTGCACTGATGGTGACCACGTTAAATATTTTACATTTCCTGCTGTAACGTAAAAAGTATGAGTCATTTCACGTTAAATTTTCTGAAATAAGTGTCGGCCTTTCAAGGTATCTGCTTTCATAGAATGTACCGTGTATATTTGGTATTAAGTATGTAGTGATATAGGCCCATGTACAATCTATCCATCTGAATGATGTGATAATATGATTCCAATCATAAGTAAGTATTTTGCCCAGTGTGTAAACATTTCCCATATTTTTCTACAGAATTTTGGGAGAGCAGTTGCAGGTTAACAAAACAGTACTGACCTCTCTGATGTCAAAGACAAGAGCCCAGTCCGGACTTTTTTGTTTATAATATATTGATACTTCCAGAGCGACAGATAACTTTTTGGGTCATTGAGTTATGTACTCGCTTGTGTTCATCTCAATTGGGTATCCTGAATTTCCTTTGAGTAAACAACTAAATTGTACCCACCTCACACAAACTCAATGGGTATTTTGCCATTTTCCATTGATTGTAAAAATATGATAAAGTTTCAATGTTATTTATATTGGATCTGTAATATGAGAAACGACAAGAAAGACTGCAAGTAGTCAAGTTCATGTGTTGAAATAGAACCTCTGAATATACCTCAGTTATTTTATCTATCCATCGGTACGCAAGCTATGATTCAACATTTTTGTGTGTACGCGTGTAATATCACATTTAGTGAGTATTTACAAAAATTAATGCGTACTTGTACGCAATAGACTTAATACGAATAGGGTTTTCACATAAATATTTGCGTAATTTACGCAGATACGCAGCTTATCTGTACCTCTGTACTTCGCAAGAACCATTCCACGACACCGAGATAATACGCTGTACTTGTTTACAAGATTAAATTGGATTAATGTAGATGAGGTTCAGAATGGATCTTTATTTGTGCTAAGTGGGAAAACGTTCTAATTACTGAACATTCTTAACATGCACATCACGCACTTTACTGCTTTACTGCGTTCGTGTCAACGTCGATAGACACGTTGTCTCCCATCCCGTCGTTGCAGGAGGGAACGCGATTCATCGCAGAACCAGACGCGTTCCATGCGTTCCCCAGGTTCCATGCCTGTACCCTGTTGCACTACTGTACACGTCGTTGTCGGTGTAGTCGTGTCAGGACAGGTCCACCCTTTGGTCGATATGCTCGAATTCCCACTTCTCTCAGACGATTTCTGATGGTTTGGTCGGAAATTCTTCGAAGACCAGGCACCTCTCCTCGGTGACGTAGATGAAACACCCGGATGAATCGGTCCTGAGCAGGAGTCTTCCACTTTTAGTACGATCTTGGGTCGAACTGAAGCGGGTATATCGATGCCATAGTCGAGATATGATGCTATGGTGGACGTTGAAGTGTCTTGCAACGGCAGACTGGGACTCCCCTGCAGTTCCAAACGTCCAATGGTATCTTATTTCGGTCAGTAAAGCATTCAATCTTGTTAATTGGTATCTTGGTTTACGTCGTAAATTTCGTAATGAAATGATGAATTTGGTTTGGTCTTTTATAGTCGATGTCACTATTCATGTTTCAGTCACATTGCACGTGCATTACGTGGAAAACGTTTTCTGCATTCACTTTACATGTATTGTTTTCATTTTTTATGACAAACGTTCACAAACACATTTTGGGATGCGTTTGCGAGAAATGCCCAACAACCACGACATGATTAATGGGATTCAAACAAAGGAATTGTCTTGATGATTGCTGTCAAATATATCGAAATGGACTGCTGATAACACATGTGCGTTTCTTTTTTTCCAAAGACTGTAATTTAAAGGCTTCGCCTGTCTGCTCCTACAAATTTGGTAAATGTATACAGAGATAATTTTTGAAACTCAGGCCTTAATAGAAAGACTGTCTAGTTTAACCTCATTTTCCACTTCACCTTAATAAATAAGCTACATTGAACAAATATTTACTACTCAAAACATGTTAAGGAATTCTCACAACTGGAAGGCTGTTTGTTGCACTACCCATTTGAGATGTCAAATTAGATATGGTCGTTTGAAAATTTCATCATATTTCCGTCAATGTGGCGAGTTAGTAAATGAAGCGTCCGTTAAATCACCAATATCGATGTAAATCGGGCGCCTGATGCATTTAGTGAGTGAGTGAGTGAGTTTAGTTTTACGCCGCACTCTGCATTATTCCAGCTATATGGCGGCGGTCTGTAAATAATCGAGTCTGGACCAGACAATCCAGTGATCAACAGCATGAGCATCGATCTACGGAATTGGGACCCGATGACATGTGTCAACCAAGTCAGCGAGCCTGAGCACCCGATCCCGTTAGTCGCCTCTTACGATAAGCATGGGTTACTGAAGATCAATATTCCAACCCGGACCTTCAAGGGTGGATGCATTTAGTATTCCTGCCCTGTTTGTTTGAATATTGTGAGCGTTGTGTTAAATGCTGTTATATATATTTGATAACTTGCAAACTAAATGTTCAGTGTCACTCATTCCGTTGTAATAGTACGTTTCTCAATATAACTAATCTTATACGTCGAGTTTGCTGGTTTACCACTCTTTGCACAGTCACTGGTCTATTTGCTCTGAAACCTGAAGCATAACTTTTTTTAAAAGCATTATCCAAGACAATTTGTTACAATGATATCGCAGCCACCAAGCCTATAGAATGGTAGGTCGGTAAATAACAATAGAGGAGAAAGGTACAGGAATTTATTATCACAGACAAACTGGGATTAAAGGATTAAAATTGAACTAAAAATTGTCAAAACAAAAATATTATACCACAAACATAAATGAAATATGACGTTACAGTGACACGTTTTCACGGTTTTCACAGCGCACGATATAAAAAAGCACCAAGGCCTATTCTGTAATATATGTTCGAAAGCCTAATGCTGCCATTTTTTGTATGCAGAGTATTTTTTTCGGCGACAATTCTCGTTACTTTGAGTATTTTCTCGTTGCTTCGAGCATGTTCTCGTTACTTTCTTTCAAAAACTTGAAACTTCCAATATTTTCTCGTTACTTCAATTAGTTTTTTCGTTACTTCGATTATTTTCTCGTTGCTAGAGTATTTTCTCGTTCCTTGAACTTTCTTTCAAAAACTTGAAATAACGAGAAATGACTCGAGCCATCGAGTAAATACTTGAAGTATTGGACAAGAAAAAGCAAAAAAAAAAAAGGCAAAAAAAAAAGCTGAAGCGACGAGAAAATAATCGAAGCAACAAAAAAATATTCGAAGCAGCGAGAACTTTTAATGAAAATTATATTTTATGCTACGAATATTTCGTATATATCTACTAAGCACGTTATATTTACAGCTTTCTATGTCTATAGATACATATGGAATTACGTTCCGAGCACATGAGAAATATATTTATACATATATACAACATTTGGTGTTTAAACACGATCGGGGCAGTAGCAATTCTTGGAAATTATTTGTAAAGAAGGGCAACAAGAGAGGTGACGACAACGCCAAAAATGGACGCTGACATGCGCAAACTGTTGTTGCAGTAGTCGGAGTTGCACGTGCAGCCGTAGACGTCAAGGCCGTTGTGTTGGGTTTCGCGACACTCATCGGTCGACTGTTGGGGCATACAGCCTCGTGTGATTTCTACCATCTCACCAACGTGAGCTGAAAGATAAGAATACTCTGATGAATATAGAACCGGACATTACAACTTTTCATAAATCCCATAAAAGTCAGATCTTAGTTCCTGCTACCGCTGAACATATATCTGAAGACATCCCATCCCGTCACCCCAGGACGATCTTTCACTCGATCCAATCAAAACAGGTGTCCGCCTATGGGTATTCCGAACGACAATAACGGACTGTAGCCTACCGCTGAATCATTCGTCATACATCCCACTCTCCGTAAGCTTGTTGTTTGTATGTCAACAATATTCTAGCTATATTTCGGCGGTTTGTAAATAATCGAGTCTAGACCAGACAATCCAGTGACCAACATCCTCAGCATCAAACCTACGCAATCTACATGTCTCAGCCACGTCAGCGAGCCTGACCACCCGATTCCGTCAGTCGCCTCTTACGGCAAGCATGGGTTGCTGAAGACCAGTTCCGATCAGGCGTATTTTACAAGTCGCCAGATCGACATGTCTCCGTCTGGCTCCCCGTCCATCCCTCAGAATATATACAGCTATTATAAAACCATCTCTCTATCACTGACGATATGTCAGTATGTTTTAGGTAAATATATTTTTTGAAAAATCACCTTCCGATGCAGCGCATAACCGCAAATGTAAAATGTGTGGAATAGAAAATTGTTCCAATGATACGTATACAATCAATTATAAAAATATGTTGTACTCACTTGGTCTCACACCTCGGTACTTGACGCAACTTGTGGTACACTGTTGTGCGGCTGCTCGCGTCACCCGGAAGTCATCAGCACACCGGAAGTCATGCATACTGGAACACGTGTAGCACTGAATAGCCTCCCCTGAAAGATGCAGGGGTTTGTGAGTGAGTGAGTGAGTGAGTTGGGTTGAAGGTTGTTTTAAAAAAAATATTTCAGTTATATCAGCAACTTCTAAATGCCACTCAAATAAGATATCACAGGTCTAAAACATTTATTACTTTGTATTCGTCACCACTTGACCCTTTCCATAACCGCCAAGAAGAGGGCTTGTCCCGGAATAACACGAGCGGGCTACGAATGATCACTTTGGTGTAACCCACGAGAACCGGTCCTGTGGTCACAAACCATGAAACATAAATTTGGGCAAACCGGGATTCTAACCTTAAATGAGAGGATTCTGGCGTGCCCAGGGGACGCAACTCTGCACACAGCTAACTGACGCGCCTTAGAGGAAAGGCCACCCGTTTACCCCTTTTCAAATACATGTGTACTGCACCGAGGAATATGTCCTGTATGACAAGT